ATGGAAATGGTCATTGCTAACTCTTTCATGATGGAAAGCCTATAGCAAAAAGGCAGAACAGATATTGCCAGCAGCAAAATCTGGGAAGCTCGTATGCCATGAAATTCTTGCTTTACCGTGTGACGGGACCTGTATCTGTGCCCGCATTTGACTCCCTATTCAACATCTTGTGTTGCAGTCTCCGGAAACAGGGGGTCCACAAAGGCACATTCAACAAATTGACATTCACAAACGAAAGCACGCACCATCGTTTGTCTGGAGACTCTACTGCCAGGCCTTCATCTTCTGAATCACTGTCCTTGCAGGGCTCGATGGAGGAGTAAGTGTGCAGTAGCAATTGCGGCAGCGGCAAGGGTTGTGAAGTTAGACACTGGAAGCAACCCTCGGGCGCTCCTGCTTCGTGCCAGCAACAACCACGCAGGCCTGGGCAATTCAAAATGGACTTGAAATCTATCTGCTCCCGAGAATAGATACCTTGCAAAGTCCTGCGTAGTCAATAGCAAAAGAATGACCAAGCTATGCTAAGCACCCGCCCGCTATAAGAGCAGGAAGCCTTTTGGCTGCACCAGATCGGAACGCTTGTCTGGTGGCAAATTTGCTGGACCACCATGTTGCAATTGCGACCGTTGACATGACTATTGCTGGTGCTGCTGCTGCTGCTGCTACTCCTGTGGTGGCTCCCACTGCTGGGCAACCCCGATCTCCAAAACCAACACCAAGATCATGATGAACAACGGCAATATGCTTTGAGTGTTTGCACAAGCAATGAGCCCCTAGCAGCCCTAGCACATACACAGAAACCAGTTTCACAAAACAAGCTCAACTAGCCCAAGCCCGTGTTGGACAAACCAGTCGTACTTGTCAGCTGTCCCTAAATGGCAATCTACATTGCAACCAGCCGCTCTGGGATCTTCTTCTAGGTCAGTCTCGACCTTAGCCGTAACCAATGCGGAGTCCATGGGTCATTTTGCATGCGCTGCAAACCACAGCAGCTCAGTCGAGCACCACCCCCAGCTCTGCCAACAGCCACTCCACTGAGTCAGCACCTCAAATCTTTGAGGCGGATTCAGAATTCCAGCATTTCAGTACTCTGACGGAAGTATACGGAAGTGATCAAACGTCACTCACAGCTGAGCATATTTTGAAGCTCTTCGGGTTTCTGACTGACTCTGCTGCCGCCCCACTCGGCGAGGCCCTGCACCTTCTTGATGCACTCCTTGTCTTTGTACCTGACAAGACATCATGAGGCTACTCGCGCCAGAAGCTCCAAACGGATTCTGAGGGCGCAGCATGATGACCGTTGGGGTCAAGCTGTCCGGGAAGTCAGGGATAATCTGCAGTTGCAATGTCGCAGGTCTTTGCCGATGAAAGACGAGATGGTACGAGCGTGATTGAATATCAGGCACGGGAACGCTTTGTCAGTGTGATTCATTCTAGTGAAGCGGCCGTACTCCTGTGGAGAGGATTTGAAAAATTGTTTTACAAGCAAATTGCTGTAGCAACACAACATTCTTGGAAATGCAAAGGAACACTGCTACCGTTCAAACAAGCCACTGCAAATTGAAGGAAAAGGAGACCCAATTAGAACTAAAACCTGAAGCGCTTGACTCAATATCTTGCCTCAGCGGCAACTCCCTTCATGAACTTCACAGCAGGGAAGCGCCCCGCCACGAGCTCCCAGGGCCTGGTCGGGCTCAGGCTTTGAGTTCAAAAAGGCATTGAGGGGGATTGCCACAACTCAAATAGAAGCTCCTGACCCTCCAAGTTGACCATTAAGAGGGTTTCGGTATTTGTAAATGGTAGAATGATAACATGGAAAACAACATGGAAACTATATATGGGCTTGTTACTCGGTAATAAGAGGATTCCCAACATTCCGACCCTAATGCAACTGAAATGCCCTCCTTACGATTCCCAACACTAGGATCCCCTTTGGGTCAATCTCCCACCCAGTAATGGGTACCACGAGGGACTATTGTAGGTATGTAAAGGCCATGTTAACTCCATATTAAGGAGCTAAACCTTCAGACTTCTTCTAGGAGGACTTAGCAAGTATATTTACAAACCCTATAATCCAGAGAATAACCCTTTTCATCCCCTTCTTTGCCTAGTCACTAAGTTTACTGACCCTCCAAGCGAATCATCCTCCATCATCCGCATGTGAAGGTCCTTGTGAATAAGGGCCCACTTGGGAAATTCATTGCCTTCAAGAGGGATCCTACCATAGAAGGGAACCTTGGGAACCTACCTCATGGCCATTTGAGACATAAGTATTTTGAACAAATCCCCTAAACCCTCAAGCCAACCAAACCATAAATGTAAATTGGGTACCTTCACAAGAGGATATGCAAGTTTATTGGCCCATTGTGTTCGTCTAAAATTGGGTGCTGCTTCCAAGTCCCTGCCCCGCCCAAAAATAGCCAGGCACCAGCGAAGGGGACCTCCTATTTGTCAATCGGTGTGTTGAAAAATTAGTCCGATAGGTTCTGCGGGTGGAGACATGTCATTCAAATGTAGAGGCGCTTTCAGGGCATTCCGAGAACATCTCGATTGGCAAAGCATCCGAATACATCTGCTCCTCTTCTACACCCACAGGAATTGCATGCCTCAGAATTGCGTGGCATGCCAGGCTGCTCTCGGTGTAAAGTAGCAGCAGCACCCATTGCCCTGCCAAATGCTGGCCAAATTGTTGAATTGCACAGTCATTGCCCCTTGCTGGATAAGGCAAGTATGTCAAAGCCATCAAATAGCATGCTAAGCAGGGACTGCGAAGACAACCTGCGTAGTACATGCGCGTGTGTCTGCATGGGAAGGACCCTCTTCTATGATTCACTCTGACTCTAGGCAGTGTTTTTAGAGCCCTTGTAACAACAAGTGACGGGACCATATATGAAATTGGTACTTGCTGTTCTCTCCATGAACCCCTCAATCCCCGAAGACTCCTGGTGATGGGAAATCGGATTTGGCCCCGTTCTTGTGCCTCCAGCACTGGCCTCCGTGACCTGCAAGGTGGGATGAAGGAAGTTGTCCAAGGCATTTTCTCCCAGCTCCAGATGTGTATGCTCTCGAGTCTCCCAACTAGTGGAACTCTGGAACCTTAAACCCTTCCAGTCCATCAGGTAACCTCGCGGACGTAGTCTGCCCGGCAGAGCTGCCGGAGTTCGCCAAACTTCGATGTTTGGGCCGCCTTTTTCAGCTCAGCCTTGGGAAAGCAGTGGCCCAAACTCGTGCTCCTTATAGGAATGCCTGATATATGCAAATTATTTTGTGCATCATTGTTTGACATATGCCGAATGCAAGGATCGAGGTTCAAACGTTAGCATATTGCCACCACTTTCTTGATATCCTGCTGATGACCCACAATGAGCATGCGGTCAAACGGAATCTATGCGAATGTGTGCGGAGCCTTGTCCTTTTGCAACCTCGCGCAAGCAGAGTGAGCTCGCTTAGTGGAGAGAGTGCGCTTTGGCACTATCGGAACGACTACCAATTTATTTGGCCGTGCTGTGAAATTGGGAAACTTGAATGATGGGCAGAACTGCTTCCAATGTCCTCATGGTTCTGTTCTCATCATTCCCGTCTCTATGGTACTAGGTACATCACGGCCTCATGCCTGCCCGGGATACATCCACCGCAACCCATATGGCAATGGCCGCCCCAATGCAAACCTTGGCAATGCTTCATTCCCTGATATTTTGACTCATCATACTCCCCAAGAATTCTTGGGGCGTGTCATCTCTTCATGACGTGTTGGTTCGTCTCATGTTCGCAATCTTACTTGTGAACGCTAACCCCACAATAATGCTAAGGCACTTGGCTGGCGGGTGCAGTGGCTTTGCCCAGAGACATGGCACCTTGCAGAAGCCTAACACAAACCAGATAGGAGCCACGAACTCGAATGCAGACACGTGAC